AATTGAACTTCAGACTATCTCATGCCAAACCTAATTCCATTTCCCACTGTTTAACATGTCAGAGAACCTCGGTCTTCGTTGTATATGACATGGTCAAGCTCTGACAAGCCAAGTTTTTGGTAGATGTAGCAGCGTTGGGGAATCCTGTTTATGTTTGGCCCTCAGAAATAAGAGATTTTATTATAAGGCCATTCCAGGACCGAGCTCGTAACTTGAGGTGCTCGTATCTCAAATCATTTTTTTAACATACGAAATAACAGGGGGAAAAAAAAATGTATCGGTTCCGGCCCTTGTTAGTATAGAGAAATATACACACAAAACAAAGTATAGTATATAAGGATTCCTGTGATATTAAATAAATTGTGGTTTTAATTATGAGTTCTTACCTTGAACGGTAGACACCGATTCCGTGATTGATTTTTTTTTTTTGCTTTTTTTTCAATTTATATGCACCACACTCTAACAATTCCATGCTTTATTTCAATGGTCCTCACGTGTTTCTTCTTCTAACTGCCGTCCTTACCACTCACTTTCCTAGGACTCATCACTATTATGAAGAATAATGCACATAATTTACATACTTAACGTGAGTACGTTTGTTCAGATTATGGTTACTTCACAGGAATTGAAGAAAGACACAATTGCTTTATAAAATTGCTCTAAATACTGCAGCTACCGTCTGTTGTCACTTGCCATACTAATCGCTAACTCTTTTTCCATTTACTTCCTTTTTGAAATTGGACGTAAAACATCATTAAAGTGACCCCCATAATATGTTGTTTTCTTCTTTGGATCTATAGGCGATGTAGAGCTTGAATGGGAAGAGACCACGATGTAAAAAAAAAAGGACAATTGTTTTGTGACGACCTACGTCGACAAGGAAAAGCTGCGGAATAAGAAAATTAGCAGGATCTCAACTGAAGTGTCCGGGTGAACTGTTGTTTCTCTTCTAAAGGTAATTCCTCTACTGTACTGTTTGTTCTCAGAGAGTTTGAGAACTGACCGTGACAGACAGATAACTATAACATCTGTAAGTCCATAGATACCTTGCACAACTGGATTTCGCAGTATAATGTAATGGCTGTACTATATTTATAACCTTTTTGTAAGAGAATTCATTTTTAGCCAAAATAGTGTTTTTCTCCCAGTCTTTGTAATTCTTTTATTTGTTGTTTATTTATTTTGTCTTTCCGAAGTGTGATTTGAATAAATATATATATAAAATGAAAATTGTATTTTGTTGGTCCTTTAGCCCTTCTCGAAATCAGGTCATTCTTTCGGATGACCTGACTTGTAAAGTGCTGTGGAATACTGTGGAATATATTGTGTGGAATATACATTCCACACAATATATTATATATATACACACACAATTATATATACATATAATCATTCTACCCAATCTGTCAATCGCATGAGAAATGGCTTAACCAACCAGCTGGTTTCTGCTCTGATCTTCGAACGAGGCTTACATATTTACGCAACGGTTGCTAAAGGGATCGAGAGTTCAGTTCTCTAAAAGGCAGCTTTTGGAGTGGAGTTTAAAAAAAAGTTGTTGGTTATCTTCTGGTCTATGCTCATCATCTGTTTGATGTCCAGTACCTCATGCTTTGCACTCGATGCCAGCAAGTAGGCGCCTGAGGTGCTAGCCATGCTGAGCCTGTGATATCCACTAATGATCTACGTCTACATTTGTTCGCACCATTTCACACGGCCAAGCCTCCCGCAGTTAACCTCTCGAAACCAGATCTTATACCTGTGGTACAGAAGAGGCGGCTACTTCGTTAGGTCAAAACACAAGGTAAGCTGCTGTATTTTCAATGCAAATAAAGACGTTATGCTAACCAGCTTGTACGTCCACATCTGCTTTCAAAACATAGCCATCCTGTATTTGTGATAGTGTGTCCCGCTTTACTTACTGTGAAAGCAATATATTCCACAGTATTCCACACAATATATTCCACACAATATATTCCACACAATATTCCACAGTATTCCACAGCAATTGTGTGTGTATATATATTATATATAATTATATATAATATATATACACACACAATTGCTGTGGAATACTGTGGAATATATGTGGAATACTGTGGAATATATTGCTTTCACAGTAAGTAAAGCGGGACACACTATCACAAATACAGGATGGCTATGTTTTGAAAGCAGATGTGGACGTACAAGCTGGTTAGCATAACGTCTTTATTTGCATTGAAAATACAGCAGCTTACCTTGTGTTTTGACCTAACGAAGTAGCCGCCTCTTCTGTACCACAGGTATAAGATCTGGTTTCGAGAGGTTAACTGCGGGAGGCTTGGCCGTGTGAAATGGTGCGAACAAATGTAGACGTAGATCATTAGTGGATATCACAGGCTCAGCATGGCTAGCACCTCAGGCGCCTACTTGCTGGCATCGAGTGCAAAGCATGAGGTACTGGACATCAAACAGATGATGAGCATAGACCAGAAGATAACCAACAACTTTTTTTTAAACTCCACTCCAAAAGCTGCCTTTTAGAGAACTGAACTCTCGATCCCTTTAGCAACCGTTGCGTAAATATGTAAGCCTCGTTCGAAGATCAGAGCAGAAACCAGCTGGTTGGTTAAGCCATTTCTCATGCGATTGACAGATTGGGTAGAATGGTTAAAAAAAAAACATATACCGTATTTTCCGCACCTTTTTTCATCCTTTGGCTGGGTTTGCGACTTATACTTAGGTGCGACTTATGTATATATTAAAATATATATTTTTACTGATGTAATGTTATTTTCACACTGACAGCCGCTAGAGGGCACTCTAGGCTTGTGTACCAGTATGTGCAACTCCTGGACTACTGGAAATGTACACATTCGTTATTTTCACACTAGAGGGCACTCTAACTGGCTGGTGCGACTTATACTCCGGAGTGACATATATGTTGTTTTTTTTTTGTTTGTTTATTTTTCTTCATTATGCCTATTTGGCCTCGTGCGACTTATACCCTGGAGTAACATATATTTTTTTTGTTGTTGTTGTTTGTTTATTTTTCTTCGTTATGCCTATTTTGCCTCGTGCGACTTATACTCCGGAGCAACTTATAGTCCGGAAAATACGGTACATAGACATTACATTGTTTTTCCTCTTGCAAAACATGAGGAAAAACCATGACTTTTTTTTTTTTTATCTAGCGGAAACAAAGCAAAAGACGCATGTGAACAGTATGTGGTATATAAAGTAAAAACTACTTTATTTTATTCTTTCATTCTCTTCAAACAGGAAAAGATGAAACAATTCTTTAGTGAACACA